TTGTTCCCCAGCCCAGAAAGAGTCACCAAGAGGCGGCTGCTGGGTGACCATGTCTGCCCACACCAGTGAGCGAGGGATGAATGTGGTGTTTGCAGAGCGGGGTGGGGAGGGCAGGTTTGCAAAAGTCAGGATTAACTGCCATAACTAGAGGTGTGGGGACCTCCTGTCTACCCCGCTCCACCCCCCGCAGTCATCCTCATCCTAGCCGTCATCTGCATGACGCAGGCCTCTGAAATCCTCTAGCCCTGGCCATCCAGGCTCTGCTGGGTGCTGTGCCCGTAGGATTCGGCTGAGCTGCAGAATGAAGAGAGGAAGGAGACGTGACCGTGCGGGTGGACTTGGCCCTGGCCCTGGCCCGATGCCCTCGGCAAGGGGCAGGGCTCAGGCAAAGCCATGTAGCCCCGTCCAATCACCTTCTCAGGTCACCGTTGGGAGTGGGGGCCCCCAGGAGTAGGATTGGAAGCGTCCACTTCCAGAATCCAGGTTAAAGCCTGATGTCAGTGTGCTGGTTTCCCCACCGGTTGAGTTTGGATGTTTTAAAATAGGCGAGGGCTGTTTCCAGTCACCCTTGAAAGGAGCAGCTGGCCTCTGGGTGAATTTCTGTCTTGACGAGCTTCGGGTCTGAAGTCAGGTTGCTGCTTGATCAGCCAGAGGTGGTGGGAACCAGCTGCCATGTGGGCGCAGAGGCCTGGTTAACACAAAGCCCCTTGTGGCCCAGACATGCAACCTACGTGGTGTATTCCTTTGGAGAGGCCTCACGGCCCCTACTTTTGTAGAAAACTAGCCCCAAGATGTGACCTCTCTTTTTCCTGGGCCAGTAGGATTCATTCATTCATTCATTCAAAAATTATTTACTGAGCACCTATTAGGAGTTCTCTGATGGTCCAGTGGTTAAGGCTCCATGCTTCCACTGCTGAGTGCCCAGGTTCAATCCCTGGTCAGAGAACTAAGATCCCACAAGCCACGTGGTGCGGCCAAAAACAAAATAGTAAAATAAAAGATAAAAATGATTTACTGAGCACCTATTATGTGCCAAGTGCTGAGGATTATAAAGGAGTTTCTTTTAGCAGTTTTTCTGAAACATGTGGAACATAATACAGGCCTGCTTTCTGCTTGGGTGGGCTGGAGGAACACCCCACCACGGCATTGAGCTAACACAATTCTTTTCACATTAGGAAAGGATGGGAGCTTCTGGATGTGGACAAGAAGAAAAGTGGAAGTGACTCGATTTTTTCAGCTGGTTGAATGAGGGTGGGGGGAGTATTTTTTTCCATTTTGACTTCCTTTGTCATCTGTGTACTTTAAAATCTTCATGAACAGACATAGCACTCCCGGCCCCCCACCACGCGCCACCAGTGAGGAGCTGGGGATGTTTAACCTTGAAGAGAGGACTTGGGGGGGCCTGGCTGCCTCAGACACCCCAAGTGCCGTCCTAAGGCTTCACCACGCGTTGCTTCAGACCTGTGACTCCAGCATAAGCAGCCTCAGCAGCACCTGGGAACCTGTGAGAAATGCAGATTCTCATCCCCACCCCAGAACCAGATTCACCAGCAGGGGGGCCCGGAATCTGTGTTTTGACAAGCCCTCTAGGTGGTTCTGTTTCGGGCTCAAATTTGAGAACCACTGCTTTCGCTTGGATCAGGACGTCTGGGGTGGGGCCCGAGGCTCTGCACTTCCAGCGAGCTCCTAGGTGATGTGATGTGAGGTGGACTACACTTTAGTACCAGGTCGTACAAGGCAGCATCATGTGATGGGATGGTGTGGGCTGGAGCAGGGCTTCCTCAGTCTCTACAGTTTTTAAAAGATGGGATTTAGGTGCAGCTGTACAACAAAACGCCACGGTGCTCTTAAAAAGGAATGAAACCAAGCTGTAAGCACCAATATGGGAAAATCTCCAGGAATATTTATTTATTTCTTGAAGTATAGTTGATTTACAATGTTGTGTTAATTTCTGTTGTACAGCAAAGTGATTCAGTTATATGTATGTATATATATATGTGTGTGTGTGTGTGTGTGTGTGTGTGTGTGTGTGTGTGTGTGTGTGTGTATATATATATATATATTCTTTTTTTGATATTTTCCATTATGGTTTATCGTAGGATATTGAATATAGTTCTCTGTGCTATACAGTAGGGCTTTGTTGTTTACCCATCTTATATATAATAGCTTACATCTGCTGACCCCAACCTCCCACGCCATCCCTCCCTCAGCCCCCTCCCCCTTGGCAACCACTAGTCTGTTCTCTATGTCTGTGATTCTGTTTCTGTTTCATGGATAGGTTCATTTGTGTCATATTTTAGATTCCACATATAAGTGATATCATATGATATTTGTTTCTCTGTCTGGCTTACTTCACTTAGTATGATAATCTCTGTGTCCATCCATGTTGCTGCAAATGGCATCATTTCATTCTTTTTTATGCCTGCGTGATATTCCATTGTATATATGTACCACATCTTCTTTACCCATTCATCTGTCGATGGACATTTAGGCTGCTTCCATGTCTTGGCTATTGTGAATAATGCTACTATGATCATAGGGGTACATGTATCTTTTTATATTATAGTTTTGTCTGGATATATGCCCAAGAGTGGGATTGCTGGATCACATGGTAATTCTATTTTTAGTTTCCTGAGGAACCTCCATACTGTTCTCCACAGTGGCTGCACCAACTTACATTCCCACCAACAGTGTAGGAGGTTTCCGTTTTCTCCACACCCTCTCTGGCATTTATTGTTTGTAGACTTTTAAATGATGGCCATTCTGATCAGTGTGTTATGGTGCACCAGGAATATTGTTAAGTGAGAAAAGTAGATTTTGAAAATATCTTTTGATAATAGCTTGCTTCCGTTAAAGCCAGGATAGTAAAATCATGATAAAACCCATTATTGCATAAATAAACTATTTAAGCATTTTAGAATGTGAATTTTAATACACCTGTTTTTCAATTTTTCACTATTCTTTCAGCAACTCGAACATTCTTGGGGGGAAAAAATTAACCATTAAAAAAAACAAGTAAAAACGTCTACATGGGGATGCACGTTTTCCCTTCGCCTCAAGCTCCAGCGTGACTCCATGCAGCCCTGGTGGATCCTGTCCTTACTTAAATTTTTGATAACTTGTTCATCATGGATTTTTTTTGTATGTATTTTGATTTTGAAAATATTTATCTTGATTGATGTTTTCACATACTCTTTAAATTTTGAGCCTAAAGCTTTGGGGATTACTGCGGGCAGTGGTCCTCCTGGCCTCTGGGCTCTGAGATGCTCTGAGAGCTGGCAGCCCACTCTGCTCCACGGACCCCGAGCACAACATTCACCCTCTCTGGGCTTCCGTGCTCATGGGACACTGTATGCTTCCTTGAATCCGCCCCCCCCCCCCCCCTTTCTGAGATACACCTACTGAGGTCTCCTTACCTAAGTTCCTGTCTCACCCTGTCGGGTGCCCACGGTGGGCATGGGCATGACTGTGGTTTGATTGGCTGAGCTCCCTGCTCACATGGTACCTGTGGCCTCTCCATCTGGAAGGCAGGCCCCACTAATAGTAGCTCACTTATAAAGCCAGCAGGAGATCTAGGTTGGAGATGGTTTCCTAACTGTAGCCGACGCCATCAGTGTCCTGTGACCCCTGCCATTTCTGGGCACACCCGTCCATGTAGTGGCTGCCCACATCTGCAGCCCAGCCTGAGGATGTCCTTGCTGGAGGCCACTCTACCCCAAGGCAGGCTGTACATGCTGGGGAGAGAGAACCTGTCCCACCCAGGGTGCTCTCTGCGGTGCTACTGGAGCAGGCGAACAAAGACTCCAGCTCCCGAGGGCCAGGGTAACTCGGAGGTGTGTGTTCTGCTCTGTCCTCCACCTTGTCTGGCCATTTGGACTCTGGTTGCCCACAGTGGTGACTGGCTGGATGACCCCTCTCCCCCTTGTCATCATCTTCCCTCCCCTGCAGGTGGGGAGTCACCTCCCACTTTTCATGGGGTCACCCCTCCTGAGGGCACCTCCCAAATAACTCCTTTTCCAGTGAAACCCAAACTAAAATTAAAACAAGGTTTACTCTGCCCACTTTGAAACCCAAACATTAAGGCAGGCAAGTGGTGGTGTTTTGCATGCATCCTTTTTTATTATGTTTGCTCTGTGGACAATTTTGTCTCCTGCCTTAATCATTTTCCTCATGTTTCCCATCCTTGGTCATGATGATTTTTTTTTTTTTTCCTCAGCCCCTGGCAACGATTTTTCTATTGTTTCTGAGAGTTTGACTTCTCTGTATCTAAGTGACCCCACGCACTATTCGTCTTTCTCTGTCTGGCTTATCTCACTGAACATAATATCCTCAAGGTCCATCCATGTTGTTGCAAATGGTAGGATTTCCTCTTTCTCCTGGCTGAATAATAATCCATTGTAGATATATACCACACCTCTTTTATCCATTCATTTGTTGGTGGACACTTAAGTTGTTTCCATGTCCTGGCTATTGTGAATAGTGCTACAGTGGACATGGCTGTGGAGATAGCTCTCTGAGATCCTGTTTTTATTTCCTTTGGATAAATACAGTGGGATTGCTGGGATTGCTCGATCATATAGAAAGTTCTGTCTTTAAGTTTTCGAGGAACCTCCACACTGTTTGCCACAGTGGCTGCACCAATTTACATTTCCACCAACAGTGCACAAGGGTCCCGTTTTCTCCACGCCCTCACCAGCATTTGTTACCTTTTGTCTATTTGATAATGGCCATTCTGACAGGTGTGAGGTGATCTCTCCTCTCTATGTGGTTGTGATTTGCATTTTTCTGATGATTGGTGATGGTGAACATCTTCTCATGTGTCTGTCGGCCCTTTGTACGTCTTTGGAAAAATGCCTGTTCATTTCCTCTGCCAGTTTTCGAATTGTGTTGTTGGTTTTTTTGCCGTTGGGTGGTGCAGGATGACTTTTAATGGCTTCATAAGTGGGAGGCTCTGGCTGGGCTGTGACCGACCGGTGCTGTGTCTGCCCCTCACCCTGCAGGCATTCGCCCCTACAAATGTGACGTCTGCCACAAAGCCTTCACCCAGCGTTGCTCCTTGGAATCCCACCTGAAGAAGATACATGGGGTGCAGCAGCAGTATGCCTACAAGCAGCGCCGGGACAAGCTGTACGTCTGCGAAGACTGTGGCTACACGGGCCCCACCCAGGAGGACCTGTACCTGCATGTGAATGGTGCCCACCCGGGCAGCGCGTTCCTCAAAAAGACATCCAAGAAACTGGCAGCCCTCTTGCAAAACAAGCTGACATCCACGCTCCAGGGCGGTGCCATCCTGAGCGAGGAGGAGGAGAAGTAGGAGGGGGCGTGGATGCCAACGCTGCTACGTGCCCACAGGTGCCCGGTCTTGAGGGCCCCCTGACCCGCGGGCTCTTTCTAAGTCCAAGTGTTCCGTCCATCTCTCTGTCCTCTGGGGGCCTCGATGGGGGGGCTCCGTTCCAAGGCTGTCAGTGATAACAGTGGCTTCAGGCCCCCCGTAACCTGTATCCTCAGGACCACTGTCACATGAATGAAAGCTTATGGATGGCTATGATCACCGTCTGGGGTTTGGGTTTTTTTGTTTTTTTTTTTTTTTAGGATCTTCACACATGGAGGCAGGGGTGTTCTTAAGAGAGACACCCCTTGGAGAGATTGATAACGGTGCCTTGCAATAAAAGTACGTCCACTTGAAATGCTACTCCAGCAGGGAAAATGAATCCTATTATTCTGAAAGAGCAGGAATTATTTTAATAAAGGAAACGTCCTGGTGAAATTTTCCTGATCAGAATGAAACAGGAGAGCGTTGACGTGTAGCTCCCTGTCCAGGGCGTATCGTGGGACCTCCGGCTTCAGGTTATTTGGGGGTTGATGTTTTGTACTAGTGGGTGGGTTTGAAGAGAGCATCTTGAGCGTTGGGTAAAGGTAGACAGACAGCTGGTGACAAGACAGCCCCACACGTGGCTGCCAGGCAGAGGCGCTGGAATCAGCTTGGCAGGCGGCTCACAGATGCTCTTTGGGCCAGGGTGTTGCTGCAGAGATGCTCTGGCCTCCAGGACTGGGCCTGCTGACTGAAGGCCATCCCCCCTCCGTGAGTCCAGCACCGGGGACATCGTGGACATCGTGGGGCCGAGGCTGGAGCATGAGGAGACCCTGGGGGCCCTCAGTGCCCCTGCAGGGGCGGCGGGGGTCGGGAGGTGATGGCGGCGTCAGCATCTCCTTCCGGGCATGTGACTGCTGCGCGAGGTGACCTTTGGCCACCTGCACCTCCTCTCGTGGGAGGTTAACAATAAAGCCGAAGGGGGGTGGGGGGGCGCTGGGAGTGTGTGAGGTGGTCTCCAGGGTCCTTCTGTGCCTGCAGGGGCCGGAGAAAGGACCCAGAACTCTCAGGAGCCCCTGTGGCCGGGAGGGATTGACTTGTAGGAGATGCGGATCAGCTGTGCCTGGGCGCTGCCGGGCGGAGCGCGCAGGTTCATTTCCACTCTGAAAGTCAAGGAAATCTTTCTTTGGGAACATTTGGATGGTGAGGCCGTTTTCTTATTTCCTCCCTCGCTCCTCCTCCCCTCCCACCTTCTCTGCCTACTTCTCGCCCCTGCCCCCTCCCCTGCCACCACTGTGGGAAGAGCCTCATGCCAGGATCCGGGCAGTTTAAGTGGTACATCCCGTAACTCAGCGTTTCTTTGCTGAGTCAGCACTTTTCTTTCGGGAGGGAGGGAAGAAATAAACCCTCTTTCCAAGCACCTACGATGCACCGGGCACTGAGCCAGGCACCCCTTGCTGCATGATGTCCTCTAGAGCACTCCTGGGGGGTCAGCATCCCTGTGCCAGGTGGTGGGGGGCAGGGGAGGCAACCACAGAGGCCGTCGGCCGGGCTGGCCGCTGGAGGACGGGTCAGGTTCTGGTCAGAACTCCTTTTTCCCTCCCTCTCCCCACCCTCCCTTCAAAAAGGAAAGACAAGGCCTCAGGTCCAACGTTGGCTACACAAGAGGCAAACGTGAGACTAGGGCAGCCTTTGGGGGGATCCTCACCCCTCCGGCTTCTCTGAAGGTAAGACTCAGTGCTGCGGGCCAGCCTGAAGGGCCACCATGGTTCCTGCTCTGCTGCATCTGAAGGTCTGGGTGTTTGGGCCGAGGCTGCAGTGCCACGTGGTCTAAATGGCCACGTTCGAGCATCAGCAGTGGCAGGGTTGCCCTTGGGACCCACAGTGGCATGTGGGGTGTGGTGTGCCCAGTGCAGCCTCAAGGGACACAGCCAGTGCTGAGGGCTCAGCCCTGGTCCAGTGGGCAAACTGGGTTGTGTCTCAGCAGTTGATACAGGGGAGAGAGACTAGAAGGTGGCTGATTTGCTTTCCTCAGTTATCTTGCATTCCTGTAAAGGAATATCTCAATGACTGGCTGGGCCAGCTGGCCTGTGGCCGGTTTTGCATAGGGAATTGCGAACTAGCTGACGTGGTGTTCTCTTTAGGGTCAGATTTTTATTAAACAGAACTCTTCTGGTGGCACGTGACAGAAACTCAGTTTAAAATGACTTTAACAGGGCTTCCCTGGTGGCGCAGTGGTTGAGAGTCCGCCTGCCGATGCAGGGGACACGGGTTCGTGCCCCGGTCCGGGAAGATCCCACATGTCGCGGAGCGGCTGGGCCCGTGAGCCATGGCCGTTGAGCCTGCGCGTCCGGAGCCTGTGCTCCGCAATGGGATAGGCCACAACAGTGAGAGGCCCGTGTACCGCAAAAAAAAAAAAAGACTTTAACAGAAAAAAGAATGTATTAGCTGTGATGTGTAGGGTTTTTCCAGCTTCAGGGGTGGCTGGATCTAGGTGCTTAAATCATATCATCCTTTATCTTTCTGTCTTTTATCCAGTTTTCCTCCAGGTGGCTTCTTTCTCAGGCAGATTCAAGTGGGGGCTGGATAGCCATCCACTGCTCTGGACGTCTGTGCAACAGCCAAGCAGAGGGGGGGGTTTATCTTTTAGCCAAGGATCCTGGGCTGATGTTTCCTGTGTCTGACTGGCCCCGTCTGTCTCTTGTCATCACCTCTCCCCTCCAACCCTAGCCAATCACTGTGCTCTGCTGGTCCAGGCTTGAGCCATGTGCTCCTGCCTCCTCCGAAGCAGGGCTGGAGAGAGCAGGCTGGCTACACCTCTGGCTTGGGAGGGGTGGGAAAGTGCTTCCCCGGCAGAAAGCAGGGTGCTGTGCCCAGGGAGGAAATGAAGGTTGGGTAGGTATACCAGCTAAGACAAGGCACAGCTGCTGGAACAAAGATTCCCAGCATGTGGTATGGCTTAAAGAAGAGAGAAGGGTGTTTCTTCCTCACCTAGAGGCTCTGGGTTGGTGGGTAGTTCTCCGTACAATCACTCAGGGACTGGGACCTCTTTTTTTTTAATAAATTTATTTATTTATTTATTTTTGGCTGCGTTGGGTCTTCGTTGCTGCATGCGGGCTCTAGTTGTGGTGAGCGGGGGCTACTCTTCGTTGCGGTGCGTGGGCTTCTCATGGCGGTGGCTTCTCTTGTTGGGGAGCACGGGCTCTAGGCGTGCAGGCTTCAGTAGTTGTGGCTCGTGGGCTCTGGAGTGCAGGCTCGGTAGTTGTGGCACACGGGCTTAGTTTCTTTGCGGTATGTGGGATCTTCCTGGACCAGGGCTCGAACCCGTGTCCCCTACGTTGGCAGGCAGATGTTTAACCACCGCGCCACCAGGGAAGTCCTGGAACCTCTTTCATCTGTTGCCCTGGGACCTTGTGAACATGTGCATGGTTGGAGCTGGGGTTCTGGTTTTCAGCCAGTAAGAGAATTGTTCTGGTTTGGTTTCCTCCAGAAGCTGCTTCTGAGTCAAGAGTTCAAGTTCAAGTTGCTGGCTTAGCAGGTGATCCCAGAAAGCAACAGATGTAGGGAGGTGGGGAAGTGGGACAGGAAAAGAAAGAACGAATGTAAGGGCTGTAACCGGAGAAGTTACTGATGTGGGCAGTTGGAGCTTAATCCAAGAGGGGATTGCTGGGAGACTGTTCCCCCACAGGAGGGGCATAGCAAGCCATGGTCCACTAGCTCCCCATGCCTGGGGGTTTGGTTTAGGGTGCTGGCACTGGAGTCATTCATTTCTGGGCGCTTCCAACCTGCCTTGTGCACTGGCCAGGCATGCTTCCTGTGCCAGGAAAAGCCCTCAGGCAGAGTTCAAGGGCTTGGCCGTGAACAACTTATATACCAACCACGTACAGCAGATGCTGAGGGGACGTGGGTGGGGCAGCCCTGGGTCTGGTACAGGTGTGGACGCGTCACACCCACCCTCTGAAGCTGCTGCCCAGACGTGGCACACAGCCGTCCACTCACATTCCAGGGTGAGGATTTTGCCATGTTACCTGGGGGACAGAAAAATGCAGCTTCTCAGCCACAGGCTCTTGTATGCCAGAGCGGGGGACGGATTATGGGAGCAACTCGCGGTCTCTGGCGTGGCAGGCAAAGCCAGCTGACGACCACCCGAGCCTCTGATCCCCTCCTCCTCCCAACCCTGTTTGTTTGTCCTGCTCTCAGCCAGTTGTCAGGAAATCCAGCTACAGTGTCCAGGGTCATGATTTAGGGCACTGGTTCTCAGGTTGGCAGCCCTGGAACCTTAAGTCTGTAAGTGGTGAGGGTGGAGATGGATGAGCTATTGTCAATATCTTCTGTCCCTCATTGGAAACCATCTACTAGCCTGTACGAAGCCCACCCAGGAACGTCTTTGCTTTTGGCTGGTGTTAGGTCAGCATCTAGTATGGAAACTGATTCTTGTGCTCGTCAGAAGTGCCCCTGGTGCTTTGTTTCAGAGAGAGGGATCTGTTATCAACCTATGTGCTTTATTTGGTTGATGTGTCTTAGGTTGGGTTCCTTGAAGCAGCAGTGACTTACTGGGGGAGGCTCTCAGGAGAAACCAATAAGGAGGTGAGGGATGCAAGTTACAACAGAGAGAAACCAGGCAAGGCTGTGGGTTCCGCTGGAGTCTAGCCTCAGCCCCATCCCAGGGGGAGCTCTGGAGTGTGAGGTGCCGTAGACAGTGTCCCACCGTGAGGCCAGGGGCTGGCCATTGGCTGTGGCTTATCCCTGGGCCGGGGAGGGGGAAGGCAGGACCACCGGCTGTTCAGCAGCCAACCCTTTTGGAACCTGGGGGTGGTTCACGTGGAGGTTTCCAGGGTGAGGGAGGGAGAAATCACAGGAGTGGATTCTTAGGGGTGAAGGAGATTGACGTCCAATAGCTATACTTTGATGAGGGCCCTCTTTGGGAGCTAAAGGAGTGAATCACTTATTGCAAATTATGTGGTGTTTGGGGGGGAAATAAAAAATGTTTTTAAATGTATGCAGAGAAATGTCTTCCCCCCAGATTCGTTTCTCATCTGCCAAACCTCCTCTACTGTCATCATCAGCCACTCTTAGCTTCTTGTGTACCTTTCTTGAGTTTCTTTACTCATATAGAAGCAAATAGGAATATATGTATCCTTGTTCCCCACTGCTGTTTTTAAAATTAACGTATAGCATTATGCATACTCTTTGGAACCTTGCATTTTTCTTTTTTGAATTTTATTTATTTTTTATTGAAGTATATAGTTCATTTACAGTGTTGTGTTGGTTTCTGGTGTCCAGCAAAGTGATTCAGTTATACACATATATTCTTTTTCATATTCTTTTCTATTACAGTTCATTAAAAGATATTGAATAGAGTTCCCTGTGCTATACAATAGGACCTTGTTGT